CTATTCTTTTAGACACGCATCATTCGACTTCCCCTAGAAGGAAACAATTTCGATATGAAAAAGTTTGGTCTAACCATGAATCTTTTGCTAATGTTGTGGCTGAGTCGTGGGCTAGTAAAGTTAACCCTAATTCTAATAATGAATTTCAAAAATTTTGCTGGATTTTTCGATCTAGAGCCGGTTGGTGGAAAAGAAATATTTATGGAAATCTGGATAGAAATATTGAATATATTATGAATAGGACTGAAAAATGCACTTTTGAACTTGATAACAAGTATTCGATCCAAATTCATGAGGAACTAAACAGACTCTGAAATCAACATCAATACCTTCTTAAAGAAAAGGAAATCTTTTGGAAACAACGGTCTAGAGTCCTTTGGCTTAAGGAAGGAGATAATAACACAAAATTCTTTCATGCATATTGTTGGTCGAAAACCTACACGCAAGTGCACGTATCGTACAAGTAATATAGTGGACACTTAAGTCCGGATATCGAACCCACAGGGAATATTTAATTATCTAATTCTAGACGCTAAATTCTACCAATTATTATCAAGCCCACCCTACACAGTCGAATTTAGAGAGAATTAACTAAATTAAAATAAATTAAAAAGAAAATTAAAAAGACAAGAACACGAAAGCAATTTAAAAACGAAGATTAATCAAAGTAGACAAGCCTAGGATTTTATTCTTCCCCCTATGTGATTATTATTCCCCCAATTCCTTCAATTATACAAGCAATTAATCCGGATTATTAACCTGAGATGCTAATTTAATCATAACCCGCTTCCGCGTGTATTACGATTCTAATACTCTAGATTCAATTACTATATTCCTATGCAATTAATTCTAGAACACAACATTAAGCACAAATCTCAATAATGGCTACCTAAGAGATTAACTATATTCCTATGTTAATACCACAAAGGCTCTTCTACCACAGTTCTAATTATTAACCCGATCTTCCGATTCATGCGATTAACAATAACATAAAAGCGCATAAAGTGGCCAGTTTCATGAACTTAATAAAACAAGTAGAAGAAATAATCCGGAATTAAAACTTGCATAAAATCATAGAAAAGGGTTCATAAATCCCACATAGGGTTCCAAATAAAATCCTAGAAATAAAGACTTAGCTACTCGTAATTCTTATGATAAATAAAATAAAATAAATAAATTAAATAAGAAAAACTATGCTTGAATCTTCGTTGATCTTCTATGCTCTTGAATTTGCGTCCAAAGATGGATCCCCAATTGTGTGCTTGGCTTGGTCTTATATAGGGTGAAGAATTTGGGGAAGAAGGCAGTTTCCTTGTGCAATTAAAATTCCTTTACTGCGCAATTTCGGAGTCTCGGACGGGAGTCTCACAATTTGCACTAAAACTGGGACGGGGGTCTCAGCTTTAAATCTTCAGAATTTTGATATTTTCACTTTTGACCCATATTTTCGCCAAAATTGCAGTTTTGACCCCATACTTTTCCAATTCTTCAATTTGTACCTAAAATACAATAAATCAACTTTTTAAGCACCAATTATCGTTAAAACACACCAAAAGCTCAAATAAAAAGATATGATAAAGTGTAAAAATATACACTTAACACATATGCCACAAATAGAAAACGTGCTAATACTATACATAGCTTAAAAATCAATAACCAATGGATCTACAACTTGGAAGATATTCAAAAATCTTTTTTGGAACATTTCAAAACTATCTTCACCTCCTCGAAACCTAATCCAAACATTTTTCAAAACATTTGCTGCCCTCAGTTAGGTTTGGAAGAGCATATTCCACTTACCAAAGATATCTCAAATAATGAAATAAAACAAGCTCTTTTCCGCATTGGCCCAGACAAGGCTCCTGGACCGGATGGTCTTAATGGGCATTTTTTTCCAAACATACTGGGACATACACAGTGGGACCATCCATCCATAGAACAATTTTTAGATTTTTCGAGTCATCTGAACTTCCTCCTTTTCTAAATGAAACCAAAATCATTCTTATTCCGAAAAATAATAACCCCTATAATATCAATCATTTTCGCCCAATAAGTTTGTGTAATGTTCCGTATAAAATCATTTCAAATATTTTGGTCAATCGAATTAGACCGTATCTCAGCAAACTGATTACTCCACTCCAAAATGCTTTTTTCCCTAAACGACAAATTGGGGATAATATTATTATGGCTCATGAACTTCTCCACACATTGAAATCAAAAAAAACAAAATCATCTTTTATGGCGGTCAAAATAGATATAGAAAAAGCCTATGATAAACTAGAATGTAATCTCATTAACATGGTTCTTCATAAATTAAACTTCCCGAATCTTTTAATAAAATGGATTATGGCTTGCATCACATCGGTCTCTTTTTCTCTATCCGTAAACGGATATATTTCTGAAACATAGAAACCGGAAAGAGGTCTCCGGCAAGGAGATCCATTATCTCCGTATATTTTTATTCTTTGCCTAAATTTTCTCATTTTAAAATTTTTGGAAGGACATAAAAACTCCCGTTTTGATGCTTTGCAAATAAACAAACAGTGTCCGCCTATTCCAATTTTATGTTTTGCTGACGATTGTATCATTTTTTCAAAAACCAGTGATAAATCATTAAATTTTATTCAAGATACCCTAAATATCTTTGCACGTGAATCAGGGCTTATAGTATTTGCTGGACTAAATCCAAAATATTTTTCTTCAAAAACATCACCCAAAACAGAAAACGGGAAATATGCCAAAAGCTACAAATAAAAAAAGGAAACATCGGAGATAAATACCTGGGTCTACCTATTATCATTAACCGTGTGTCTAAAACAACGTTTTTTGATATTATTTCTAAAACCCAAGCAAAAATCTCGACATGGTATAATAAATTCCTATCCCATGCTGGTCGGTATACTCTGATTAATCACGTTATTAATACCCTACCAAATTATACCATGAATTCTTTCAAACTTCCGGACGTCACCATTAATAAATTGAACTCTATAAATAAATTTTTTTTATGGAATTCCTCTCCTAGCTCTAATAGAAAGAGCCCCATCCCATGGAATACTATTTGTCAAACAAAAATTTATGGAGGACTTGGAATTAAAAATCTTAAAGTCCTAAATAAAGCTTTCCTTTTAAAACTGGGATGGAGACTCCTTACTGATAAAACCTCCATTTTGGCCCAACTTATGAAAAGCAAATATTTTCCCCAAACCAACTTCCTGAATGCCCCCAAACCAAAAGGTTATAATAGTGGCATATGGAAAAATATACACAAAACTATCAACCTTATCACAAAATGTAAATTTTGGATCTTAGGAAAGGGTAATAAAATCAACTTTTGGTTTGATAAATGGATTGGAAATTTTACTATTGCAGAATACACTCATAGCATCCCTCACGAACTCACAAACCTTAAAGTATCATCTCTCATTAATCCTCAGACTAGATCTTGGAATATATCTCATATAATTAATCATGTGCCAGATTTCATCATAAAACGCATAATTGATGTATATATTCCCGCAAATCCTGAAAAAGATAAATTTGTCTGGGCATTATCCAAAACTGGTATATTTACACTTAAGAGCGCCTACTCATGGCTACTTGATAGCTCAAACCCTATACAAAATCCCACCCTTCCATGGAATTTTATATCGAAACTCCAAGTACACCCAAGAATAAAAAAAATCATTTGGCAAGCAGCCCACCAAGCCATACCAACAGTTGAATTTCTTTTTAAAAGAAAATTTTTACCAACAAATCTCTGCCCTTTATGTAAAATAGAACCGGAAACCATATCCCAAGTATTCCTCTCATGCACTTTGTTTAACCCCACTAGAATAAAAATCCCGTGGACTAATAACACTACAAATTTTAACATATGCTCCCACCTTTTTAGACTCGCAAAATCTCACGTTTCTTATAATCAGACTGCAATCTTATTTTGGTCAATATGGAAAGCTAGAAATGAATACATCTTCCAGAATAAACCCATAAATAACCATCTAATCTGGAATATGTCATCACACTACTCCTTCCAAAATACTCAACCTAAATCTCCACAAATTACCCTAACTGTTAAATGGAAACCCCCACCAACAAACTGGTTTAAACAAAACTCAGATGGCTCGTCAAATAAAAACATGGGAATAGCAGGAATCGGTGGCATTATCCGTGATGATGTTGGAAATTTCGTCTCTACTTTCTCTAAAAATATTGGGTGTGCCACAAATAATAAAGCAGAAATTTGGGCTTGCTTCTTTGGCCTCCAACAGGCAAGAAATCTTGATATTAAACAACTTGTTATAGAAACAGATTCAACTTTCTTGTTGTCATGTATCAACAGGCAGGAAGCACCTCACACCAGCCACCAAACACTTCTCATGGATCTACAGGCATTGCTGACTGAATTCCAGGATGTTGTCATCAACTTCGGCTATAGGAAATAAATACCGTAGCGGACGTATAAGCAAAACGAGGGGCAGAGCTAAATCTCGATGAAGTTTTATTCTATGATGAATGTCCCCCGTTTCTTACTAGTTATATATATGAAGATAAAACATCGAACTTTACTAGATGTACTACCCGTGTTTGTAATTGCATCTTTTGTTAAATATGTAATATAGTAGGGTTTTTATGTGTTCAAAAAAAAAAAGAGCAATACAAAATAAAAAAAAATAAAAAATAAAAAAAGAGAGAGAGAGAGAGCAATAAAAATGATTTCAGATATTCATTTGTTTAACGTGGTAGTTACTTCGTTAGAGTTAAATGCTTAATATATATTCATTTAGTATTTGAGGGTTATAATGGACCACACATGAAAGAAAAGATTAAGAAACTACGGCACTTTCACCCTCATAGTTTTGCCCTTGAAAATCATAGTTAAGAAGAAAAGAAGAAAACAAAAAAAACAAAAAAAAAGTGGAATTATGTCATTGTACTAAACAATGATATTTCCAGGAAAAGAGTTAATTTTATGTTTTCTTGCCTCCGGGATCAAATAAACCTGCCGAAGTAATATGAATAAGCAAGAGCAAACTTATAATAAAACCACTCAAAGAGGCTTCTTTCATCGGCACGTGTGTACATATGAAATCCCCCCACAAAAGTAACGATATAGTGCCGTTGTATGTATGATCAATTTCCAGTCATAAAAAGAGGAATATAAAGAGAGCCAAGAAATGTGATATTTACATAAAAACAAATCCAAGACGGTGTTTGAGATGCGTGCTGATTTGCGAGTACAATATTCTCTCCTTTTTTTTCCTATGTTTTGGAGTCATTTCCGTTTCTTGTCATCAGGCTTTACAAGCTCAACAGGAGCTGCCGGTATTCTGACCCACCATTCTCTTATTCGTCTCAGCCCTCTTTCACTGCTTTCTTTTCTCAAGGGCATGTTCATTGTAAAACTCTCCACAAACACTAATAACATTAGATACTTCAGGGGCAAAACAGCAATTACTGTTCCCGTTAAAACCAACACAATACTCAGCTTCACTGTCGCCTGAAATTTAAAATAGGAAACTCGTTATGCTATATTGCAGCAGAATACATTAAATGAATCTTAAACACTTTAAATATGATTAGTAAGTCAAAATAGATCTCTCTCCCATGTAAACAGATCGCTATTTTCGGACACACAGCATCATATTATTTTGGATTGAACGATTTGAACCCAAGGATTTCAAATCCATTCAGCTTAATCAATGAATTGATATTACAAATTGTTTCAAATTCTTAAATGTGAATACGGACTGAAGGATTTCGATTTGATGACAGGATTTGGGATAAGATTTCAAATGACTCCATATAAAGTTGATATAATGTACCATGTGTGCATCGATAAAAGAGGGTCTCATCAGACAGGACATCATTATGGTTTCGGGAAACTAGAGCAGGGTCAATTGAGTAAATCTATGAGACCTACATAATGCAACACAAACTTTTCTCTCAGAAGAACCTTTTTATACACCAAAGAAAGAATCGGTACGAGAAACTAGGAATAGCTATTTGCTTACGTTGATTATAAAGTTTGGTTTGGGTTAATAACGAAAAAACATTCATAAGGTTTGTTGTTAGCTCACAAGAACCATCTCTCTAAATTTAAAAATTACAAATACCACATAAAGATATTATAATTATCCCCTGAGGCTTGTCTCCAATTTACAAATAAGCCTCGCCCGTCGGGTGAAATTTTTTACATTAATGACAAATAATAAGGTATTTGTAAGAGAATTTAAAGGGATAGTTTGGTAAAATGGATTCAACCTCATGATTATTTTTTGCAGTTTGATTTTGAAAGTAATAAAGCAACCTGAACACTAATTCCTTTCATACATTATGTCCTACTTCAAAAGAGAATATCTTTCATTTACGTGTTTTGTTGTTATCTGCAATTCTTATCTCATTGTAAACAAAAAGATGCCTGTGGCCGCTGCACCGGTCAACTCTAGTTTCAACAAAGGGGAATCCAAAATCATCCTTGAGAAAATAGTTTCATATACAGTTATAAACTTATAATTAAGCAACACATAATGTAGAACTTAGAATGACAAACAGTACCTGTGGTGCAACAGCATACAGAAGTGCTCGTGTTTTCAGAAGAATAATGTTGCCACTTTGGATGAGAGATTCAGCTTGAGTTATAGCTTCTTGTAATGTTAACAGCTGCTCCACAGCATTCTTACTAGGGGGAGCTACAATTTTGAATGCTCCGAGTTGCCTTTTATTCCATGTATACCTGCGCCAGAGCATGACCAGTGCCAAAAACACGAAAATGGACGGTAACGCGTACTTGATCCAATCCCTGAAACTCATCATGGAACTGTTTTTAGATACTGTGTAAAATTGAGTAATTATCAGAACTGAAACAGATAATGTCATAATATTATATTGAATCTAAAATGACCTTTTTTGTTTTCAACAAAATATTTACACTACAAATTTGTAGATTTATGACGAGTAGAAAATTTATGACTAACATGTATTAGCTAATTAATATCTTAAACCATAGAAATTTACTAGGAACTAATTTAACTACATAATTAACAATTAAATTTATGTGTATGAAAATTGCACGTGAATCTAATGTTTTGTTTTGAGTAATCGAGTTCAAAAAATAATTAAATACGCATAAAAGGTGTATTAATTTCAGAATATTTAAAAAACAAAGCTACTAGCATAAAAAGTAAAGACAATTTGGTTGTTTTTTTACAAAGCACATGGGTAAAGTGAGACCATGAGACTACAAGAAGTAAAGTAAAGTGAGACACGAAAAGCGTATAAGTGGCTAATAACGCTTCTTGAAACCGATATCATTGAGTGTCATCTTACAAAGAAAACGTTAGTTACTACCAAAAGAAACTGTGAAAAAAATAATGGCAAAGCTTAAAGCTTATAATTCATTCAGACAAAGCTCTGTGGAACTAAAGTTCGCATTGGAAAATAAATAAATAAATGAATACCAAGTTAATAGGTTCTGCAATTTCATTAGAATTTCTTGTGCAAGTCATAAATGTAGCTCATATTCCTTCAAGTTGTAGGAAACTAAGAAGAGGGTGTGTCCAAATGTAAAAATTATTTATAAAGTAGGAGTGCAACCCATGTACCCTATATGCCATATCAACAATGCATGCACATGAAAAAAAATGTATGAGTTGGTACCCAACAAAGCATTGCATAATGCAAGGAGTGGCCATGACACCTCGTCTTGTCACACTGTTTCAGAAAAGATGTTCACTACTTCCATATAAATAGACCTCAGAAACTGCATCACTCACGAATCATTTATGCTTTCAATGTAAAGGTCTGGTCAAGAGCCGGAGGTGCCGCTAAACGTGACATAATTCCAGACTGATGACCCCATTAGCACGTGATTCTCATTATAACTAATCATAAACTTTACTGTCAAGGATATTCAACTCTAGATTTCTAAAGACAATTCCCGAAGTGAATGGAAGTGCTCATTTTAAATATTACCATCATTTAACAAGTTTGGCTGATCCAAAAGTAATTAACCAGCTTCAAAGAGCATGGAAATTACATTACCTTCACTATGTCAAGTATTAGGATGAGGTACCAGGAAATGTCCACTATTGTAAACTAAAACGTATGTGATTATGTCCATATACTTCAATCTCGTTTCCATGTTCTTAATTAACACACCAAAAGATGACTATATCTATTATTATGTTACATCCAAGACTTCTAGAGTGAGTTAACCAAATATGAAGACAAAATCAAAAGTAAATTGATGGTCAGCCTAAATATAGAACTTTTCAATTCACTACGCATAGTTCTATTGG